ACTCGGTTTCCTCTACTATGGAACGTATGCATGTAATTACTAACAAATTTCCTGACGGTATATTTATGAATGTTCGTATAGTATACGTGAGTGATTCGATGCATTCAATTGAATATGATTTCTTCGTTCGAATTTCACAAGCATTTCCATTACTTAAAGATTTAACTGTGTTAAGTACTGTTAACCAACAGAAATCGACAAATGAACTCGATGGATATGAACAAACGTTTTCAATTATTGAATATTCTCATCTGATGACACTCGATCTAATTTCGTCTCATATCGACTATGCGAAACAATTTCTTCTTAAGACAAGTTTACCACGCCTTAGTACACTAGGTATTGACTATGAACACTTGATAAACGTAACAGAAGATTTTACAAGTAGTACAGCTCGTGCTAACTGTGCAAATTTAAAAAACATTATTTTTCGTAACAAGCCAATAATCCCTGGAAGAAAATTTTTTACTTATTTTCCTCTTGTTTTAAATATACATCGAGTCGAGAACTGTTGATATTGTATCCAGTGTTATTTTCTCTTGTAAATAAAGTAGATGATAATTGTATACATGTACAGATAGACTATACTGCGCTGTAGTGTGCAATATAAATGTAATCAATAATAATGAAGTTAATAAATAATCAATATAAAAAACAATCTTTTTATGTTTACAAAAAGTTTACATGATCTTTGTCTATATCTCGATTATAAATTTAACATTGATGATGGTGTGTGGATGTGGGTGTAGTTAGAGAAAATACACCCACACCCATACCCACACTCATAAATGCTCCAGAATTGAATTATTAAAATCAAGCTTTGTATATAAAAAAAAGCATTACTGAGTAAAATAATACTACTAAGGTAGTTTTTTTCCTGTTCAAAATTCGCCATTAAAGAATCAAAAGTGAATAAATAGGCGATTCATCGTTAAAATAGAGAAGCAAAGTCAACTGAGAAGAGCAAAAAAATTGTAATATCTTGTACGTCGTTGATTTAAACCTGCACAAAATCGATTAAACTAGTCTAGAGAGCATTTTGCTTTAAAAAACATTCAAGTTTCCAGAATTTGTGTGCGGATACTATTAAGAATTAGATTAATTAGAGATATTTACTACTTCCAATATAATGAACAGTAGCAATATTTCATACGTCCTTTCTTTCGCTTTCCTAAGAACTTTTCAGAACAATTCAACAGGTCCTTGTGATACAGTTGTCTTAAAGAACCCAGCAATTTCTACGAATCGTTCTATCGAAATTTTCCTGCAAGTCCTCGTACTCATCTCACCGTCAAATGAAAGAAACTCAAGCAAAGACAGGTGCTTGGTTGAAGGTGAAAGGTCACTCTTTCAAACCATATACTTTTTTTAATATGATTGAATTGTATCCTATGCTGTCATATAGATAAATTCCGTTTGTTGAATGAATCGAGCAAATCCCAAAAAAGATAAATTACGAATGATTCATTCGCAAATTTAACGGGCGAATCTTTTGACCAAATTTATCTCATTCTACTATTACTGCCTGCAAATTTGTCAGTCTCCCCTAGATTAGAATCGTTCCGTCGCTTCTGATTCGGAAATCAATTCGAAATTTCAATAGCCTATATCAAGCAGAGCAATGTCGCTGTGTTAATCAATGCATAGTTATGAAAAGCAGGAACAGTATTGTATTATCATTATTAAAGAATATGTTCTTCGTTGTTACGTATTTATTTACTCATATAGCTCAAGAAGTGACAGATTGAAAGAAATTCTATGGTAATTATTCAATATAATACGAAATAATTTTCATAAGAAAACATAAAATATTTAATGAAATGTCAACGATTTATGAGACGAATTCTTTTCATTGATTTGTCTGTTTCATCAACCAAGAATACTTTCAAGTTTACGAGAATAATCTTTTTTAATTAGCTAGTCAAAATAACCTATATAGAAAGATCAGAGTTTTCTCTATGATGATAAAGATGTTTCGATTAGTCAGAACTTGTTAGAAATCGTTCAAACCTTCTTATACGATTATTTTTCAGTGAACTAAACATGGCAATATAAAAAACAATCTTTTTATGTT